GCCAGTATCTTCAGCATCAAAGCAACATTTGCACAGGTGATCACTTCCTTCTGCATGTTCTTTTGCAGTGATTCCATCCCATTTTTTGGATGACTCCAGTGCTGAGGAGAAACACAAGGCTTGGGCATTCTTTGAAGGTTAAGTATAAGTTTCCCCTTTCATTACTCTTCGCGGATGTACTAAAACATGATTTTGTGAGACCTTAATTAAATAACCAAAATGCTTGTCCCAAAGTTTAGCTGAATATGTGAATTTTTAGTGGGATGAGAGTGATGCTTTCTGTAGTTGGAGCATCTTTGACATGTGTACGCTTAGCTGTTACATCTCCTGTTGGACACCATATCTGCTCTTTGCCTCTCCCATTTCCAGTGTGAGTGTAAATACTGTTTATGTATCAGGGATAAATGTGAGCCTTTTGTGAGCACGGAGGAACATGCTTCCCTGACCTTTCCCTCCTTGCCTTGGTTTTCATTTTATATTGATTTTACAGTCAACAACCAAAAAAGCCACTGCTTGATCGTCAGTCCAGAATGATGAAGGAAGCGAAATATGCTTTCTATTTCACGCAGTGGAAACTGTTATTTTCATAGAACGTGTGTATATCCTTTTCATGTGCCATTAAACATCACTAGAATTATTTTAAAAATAATTTTTATTTCCAATTTCACATAACCATAGATATTTAATTTCATGCTTTTTGCAATTTCTGGTTCTAAAGTCTTTCTTTCATTCTTTTGAAGTTATAAAACTTAAATTATAAAAGAAAATTTATTGAAGAAGCCTTTACTAGTAGATTCTGAAAATTGGATTTAGATCCTAGTGAGCCATTCTTGCCATGTTTACAGTAAATATGCCCTAAATAAAAACAGTTGACCTAAATGCAGAAAGAGGAACTCACTGATGCATCTGGATCAAAATTCCATTGTAGTGCTAGTTTGAGCCTTCATTTATACATAGAAATAAAATCAAATGAATAGATGTATATAATTTTGGATAAAACTTCGGGAATTTTTGAAGAATGAAAAAGATGCAAAAAGTGTTAGCCATAGAAGGAAAGAAATAGAAGAGGCTTTTTAAAAAAATATATTTGTCCTTGAAATGTGACAGTGCAGATCCTGTTTTTCTCTGTTCAGTCAAACGAAAGCACTGTTGAGTTTAATTGTACTCAATTTATAGGTATATATGTAGAAAAGTGCTAAATTCCTTGAGGATGAGATAGAATGGTTTCACTTCCCCTTTTGCTTTTGAGGTGTTCAAAAGCTCATCATTTTTTCCAGATTTTTTCTCTATTTCTGTGAATCATATACAATAATCCAGCCATGAATATGTGTATTAAAGGTATCCCAAACACATTAACAGATTTTCTTTATTATTTTTAAAACCTTCAGTTTTTTAACCTGATTTGGACAATATGAATCTTTTGATAATGATCTGTTTAAATATTATTTTGGACCAGTAGAACATTTTTTTCTGAAATAAAGAGAATTTATTGGAACATATTCAGATATAACAGTAGAAATTATATTATGATTATTTAGTTGAGAACGGATCTGATGTGGAGATGGGAAAATATATTCTGACAGATTTGAATGTTATTATATCCAACAAATTAAATTCCAAAAAATAAGCTTGAAGCGCATTTCGTGTATATGATTGTTTACTTGGAATAATACTTGATTAGTCAAGCAAAGGATCTAAAACTTGATTAAAATCACAAGCCATAATTTTATGATCTACTCTCAAAAGATGGGTATAACATCTACAGTGATGCTAAAAAGTTTGTGAAGCCTTTTGAATTTTCAATATTTCTGCATAAATATGACCTAAAATATGATCTGTTCTCCACACAAGTCCTAAAACTAGATAAAGAGAACCCATTTAAACAAATTAGTCAAAACATTATACTTGTTCATTTATTTATTGAGGAAAATGATCCAAAGCTATATTTGTGTGGAGATCAAACTTTTAAGCACCACTGTATGTAAATCTTTTGGTTTGTCCTTAATAGATAACCAACATTTAAAAATATCCTTGTATCACATATGTTTTATTCCATAACCAAATTTGAGAATTTATTAATCAAAGTTACTACTACTCTAGCTGATTTGAATTACCACAAATGTATATTTAGCCTATCCATCTTCTTGATTTAAAAAAAAAACTTCTTATCAGGAAGATTATGAGTTACTTCTAAGAAATTCAGATGTTATATTACTCAATTTGAAAAAGGTCCTTTTCCTCTTAGACATCTCCGGCCATTAACATTCCAAAAGGCCATTAAAGATAGCATGGATATAAAAACAGTACTTGTATAAAAAGCAAACCCAGTATTTCTATGAGTCAAGAAAAAAATGGAAAAAATCGATAAACTGAGACACATTTACTTTTAAAAGTTCAAAAATAAAAAGATAACAAATGATATTAATAAAGGAATACATGTTTAAAATATTCAACTAAAATATAAAGAGAATTTTTAAAAAACTAAATGGACTAAGCTAAGTGGATTTTCAGAAGAGATATATCAAAGCTACAATTTAGAAATCCCCCCCCCCGCCATGTAAGGAGTCCATCTCCAATACAAAACTGTAAAAACTGTACAGTGTATAGAAACAGATTGCTACTTTTCTCTTTCTGATCCCAGCTTAATACACTTACCTGCAGTATCTGGATCAGAGAATTATTTCACCCTGGAATGCGTGGATAAACAAAACAAAACAACAGATAAAGTAAAGTAGTACAGCAGTAATATTTATTGCAATCAAAGACCAGTACATAATAAAACTCAGCAATGTAAAACAGATTACGTATATATGGAAAGATACAAATCATAAAATTACCTGGACATATTGGTCAACCAACTCCACATTTTGCATATGCCATAGCAGAATTTCGATACGCTTAGGGTGACGGAGTCATATATGTCTAGGAGTAAAAGGCTGTAAATAAAACTGGTCAGAATGACTGGGAAATATGCTTAAATGTGGAGTTATCCACTCTGAACGTGTGTCAGCATAAAACAAGCAATATAATCAAATGTGTTTTACAGTTTCCTTAGTCCTTTTGCTGCATGGGCAAAACCTTGGCCCAAATGGCATGCCTTTGTATCTCCCTTCTAGGGCTGGGGTGGGGAGGGCACCCCATATTGCCCTCCTGTATTAAGGGATTGTGATTTGACTTAGCGATCTAGCAGGTGAAAGTGAAGGAGGGTGAAAGAGCTGATCAGGACAATACCCTTGGAAAGAGATGGCAGTTCTAAATGGATATCAGTGTCCTTAATCTGCTGCCTCAGAACTGCTATTACACACTTGTACCCAAGTGTACAGAGTTTCATTAATGAAAATCCAAGGAGCTCCAATTTTTTTGCCTGTTGCTTTGGGCCAGGTTGAAACAAGAGTGCCAATAAGAATCCGAGGTCTCAGACCTACAAGGCCAAAGTATGTTTGGGCACAGTATATAAAAATGTGTAACCAAGCATTGGTTTCAATCCTTCTGATGCCACCCTCGCGGTGAAGAATTGCATTTGAGACACAGAAGGGGGCCTGGAATATGTGCCTAAGAAATTTGGCCTGAGGAACAAAGAAACTATGGGCCTGATTGGGCACTGAATAACAGCTGTGCTCTAACTTCAGCTAAGTACACTCAAAATGCAGCAGGGATGTATAAAATCCTTTTAGAGTAGAAGAATATGTAGGTCTTTACAGTATATATTCTCTAGGCACTGTGGGTGAGGTCATGGTGTGAAAGACGATGCCTCGGTATTATTAAATGATTTTGCCTGCTCAATAAGATGATTACTTCACATCCAAATACATCTTCTAGGACGTTTTGCAAAGATCACCATCTTGGTTATATAGTTGATCTCCAGACCTTCAGAGACATAGTAATCACCCAGTGCTTGCAGTGCTCTTCTTAAGCCAGTTGGAGTCTGGGAAAGTAAAACTGCATCATCTGCATACCAAATTATCTTTCTCTGTTAGTTTCGGGGGGTGATGAGAGAGATCCAGACACAAGGCATTAATATAATAATTAAACAACAATGAGGCAAGAATACAGCCTCGTCTCCTGTCAGGGATTTCATTGGTATGGTGTCCTTGGGAGCTGCATCTAACTTTTTATTATAGAGTTTGTAGATTAGATGACAGCCTTCTGTCAACAGAGGAGCTTGGTAAATCGTGCGGCAGATTAGGCTTGGAAATTAAATGAAACCGAAAACTGCTCTAATGTCTATAAAGATGCATAATGTATAGAGCAATGCCTGTGGTTTGAAGGTGTGCCTTTCTGCCAGAATTTGTAGAAGCATGGTCAAAGGTGGGGCAGCCTGCTCTATATCCTGTTTGTTCCACCAACATTTACAGGTACACACTTGAGAAGGTGACTACGCTCTTCTGTTCTGCCACACTCTCTCAGAAGTCGTTGCTTCTTTCCAAGCCCTGAAACCCCACAAGCCCTGCTCTTACTGTAAGAAGGGGAAAATAAGGACCATGCCCAGGACCTGCAAGGTCAGGAAAGGGTGGCAGATTCAGAGACCTGAAAATGCCCCAGCCTTGTTGCCAGCTTAACAGGAGAGCACTAACGCTGTTGCACCTAGCCATGTTTGAAGGCTGCCCCACATGTAGGAGAAGATGAAGGCAATTTCCTGGGGACATGGCAAAATAAAGGTGTTACCAGGAGCTGCTAGTGTCATGGTAAGATGCAAGTGGGGAAAGGCCATTAACATGGCTGTCCTTCATTTGGTTCCTCAGAGCTTCCTTGCTGATGTTTTGCTTTGCTTCTAAAAGACTATGGAAGATAAGAAACTGTTAATACTCTGTCACAGCATTAGTGCGTCTAGCCAAATATTGCCAACAGTTGCCCAGGATTTTAGGCAGAAGTTTTTCTCAACTTCCTTGGCAGTTCTTTTTGCATGAACAGCATGTGCTCTACCATTGAACTCCCACCCCTTTTGTTTTGGAGGCATTTCAAGACAAAGGACTGATCCTTCTTTCTCCTTTCCTTTCCAGACCTGTCAGTCTATGCGGTCATGATGTGCTCTGCAGGCATTCTTAGCATCCTGCTGTTCACTCTTGTCATCCTCTGCCAGATCTTGAGCAACAAGAAACGATCCCATGGTGAGTCAATTCCTGTAATTCATCTGTAACTTTAGTTTAAATATTTTGTCGTTGAATTTACTAATTCCACATTTTAGTTACTTTATCTTTGAATGTACTGTAATTTTCCATCTTGCTATACTCAAAACAATTATATATAATATTAAATTATCAAGAAATGTTTGACTTTGCACACTTGCTCTTTCAGTCAAACTGACCAACATCAAACACATCATTTGATTTTCCTAACCTATGCAAATAAGAGACTTATAGCACTTTAAAATAGGGAGCAATCTTTTGTGAAAAGAAATTCTTATAAATACATGCAGTAGTTGGGAGAGGAGGAAGTATGATAGTGAAAAAAATAGAGAAACAATATATACTGTAGTGTAATAAGAAACCTTAGTCTTTGTGTAATCCATCAAAAGTCAACTGATTGTAATTTCTTATCTCAACGTTGGTTCCCAAGGAGACTGAAATTTCAGCTTTCAGATGCCAGATCTATATTTGTACTAGATCTATTTATTGCCAGTTTGTCCAACTATAAAGATAACATTAAAAATAGAAGTTCTAGAATGTGGAGTAAGGTCTGAAGAACTTTGTTTTCTGTGCTTTTCTTTGTTAAAAGTAACTGAGATGTTGAGACCAGAGGTTTTTCATTTGAGATTGACGGACAAACAGTTGGAAAAAAGTCATGGAACTTTGTTTTTGTATATGATAACCACAGCGAGATTATTGTATGCCCAAAGATGGAAAGATTTGGCACTACCCGCAATGGAGGAATAGTTGGTGAAGATGATGGAACTTACTGAGATGACTTCTTTGATCAGAGAAAAGACTGGAAACCCCTTATGGACTTTCTGTGTAAAACAGAAAAAAATGAACTTATAATTTATGGTTTTGATGATTAGACAGGATAGATTATA